GTCCTAAAAGTTTAAGTAATCGTTTATCCCATGCATCCAATCCATGAAAGCATTTGGTTAACCCTACTAGCAAATGAGGACAGGTTGACCATAATCATCCTAGTGAGATCATTAAGGTTCCTCATGTTTAGTCTAACCTTGTCAATGTGCTCTGTGTCCCTATCAATATGGAAGGGTATGTCTTCAAGTGGCAGCATCTAAGTGCCTCTATGGATAACTTACAAACGAGAATCCACCTGCCATAGTCGTCATTTTCGATTCATAGGCTATCATGTCTTAGGACATGTCCATGGAGAACAATCAGCATGAACTTACTGAGTACCATGATATAATGCATTGGGGGTGTAATGTATAGAAAGACTGGACGAATACATTTGGACTGGATCCCCAAGATAACTAGATTCTTGATGATCTCTTAAAAGCTAACTGTCTCTCTACTTGCTTAATGACCATTCCGTGGAACTCATGATGTACTGCATAATGAGTCTTAGGGATTTTGTAATACCATTATTGAATTCATTGTTTGTTGGTTTACTGACTATAAACATGGAAGTCTTCTATATTAGCTATGACTTCTTCCCCCTACCTCACTCAGGTGATTTGTTTTTCTTTCATTACTTTGTTGGGAGTGGATACAATGGAATTCTAAGTGTAGAGATGAGATGTTGGACCTTGGTATAAAACTAAAGATGCCAAGAACAATGCTGTTACTTGCCTATGAACAATTGCACCAAGTAGGATGTAAAACTTATTGGCTATTTTAACTAAGTGCAATATAGGTCATGGGCTAGTGATTTTCTTCTTCTTCTTTTTTTATTTTTTATGCACTTACAATTTCTATACGTTTGTCAGAGGCTAAGTAGACAAGATTTGATTTTTGACATATTATGTCTGTTAAATATACTCTTCAGTGTGTAGGATTAAATTGGGATTCTAAATATCTTACTTTTGTTCGCATATAGATTTTTATGATGTTTAATTTCATCTTTTAAATTGTAGTCAGTTAGTGGGCATTTTTCAAATGAACAATTCACATCTATATTATCAGCCTCTTTGGTAGAATTTCGGTGATGGGAAGTACCAGTTGTCAGTGGTTTTGATAAAATATTCATGCATCACAAAAAAGGGTTGCAAAGAATAAATATAAATTGAAGGAGGTTCTGCATACGGCTAAAAGTGAATATGTATTTCCATCTATCTTCAGTAGGGAACGTATATGGTCCATGCAATTGATGAAACCACGATGCTGTCTTATGGGCTACGTCAAGAAAAGGGGCTAGTGAGTGAAAATGTAGTTTAGCCTGAAATTCCTGTGGTATTTAATTTTTATATACCAGTATGCTAGAATTTTCTTCTTTTAAATTCGAGGATATTTCAGTTTTTTCAACCCAATCTCTTTCCACTGAAGCCCATAACCTTCGAACCCGTTAAGAAAATCCAAAACTTGCATAAGTATTGTTTATAGCTAGCTCGTTTCTGCTGTGACATGATTTAAATTTATAGTGTGTCACATCAGACTTTGATGTCGTATTCGGTCAGACTTTAAATGGATAACGGAGAGGGATCTTTCCTATCATGAAAAGTTCGTAATTTGTTCATGATCTATGAGGTTTACCCGTGCTTCAATATGTGACTGGGTCCTTCTATATTTGGAGGATAGATTTGAGAAATCTGTAGCTGTTTCTGTGCAAGTTAATGTATTTCCCTAGTTTTTAACTTAATTCACAAGAATCTGAGCTTCCCCTACCCATTCTCTACCTTTATTGTACAGATTGTTCAATATTCTTGTGGGATCATGTGTTTCTTTAGTGAAAGTGAACCATGAAAAATGAAAAATATTAAATATATTCTGATTCAGGTAAGACTCGTCTCTCTCTCTCAAACATATCTTTAAGTTGTATCTGTGAACTTGTTTGTACGGTCATATACTAACATTTCTATGTCCATGCATGTGGGAAATTCCCTTCCATGCTATCTGCTTTCCAATTGCTGTGCTGTGAAGCCTTTCAGTTCTCTCTTCTTCACTTTTTCACCTTTTGACACTATGTAACCCGCCATGAATTCCTTTTACTACCATACTTCATGAGTGCTTAAGTCAATGGACATTTATTTGTCTTGTTCATGGTCATCTTTTAACAGAGACTATATATTTTTAAAAAGTTAAACGTTAAATGAAGTTCCCTATCTCCTGCTTTTTTATTTTGGAACCATAAAACAATTTAGATCAGAAGCACAATTCAGTAATGCTGCATCTTAATAGTTTGGATCAGCTATGAATTGTGCTTAAATGCATGTACATTACTAAATTATTGGTCAATGAAAAGGCTATACCTCCTTCCTCTTTCCAGAGCAGATTTTGTTGGTTTCTTATGACAGTCCGCACACCATAGCATGTCAATAGGCATAACTTCAAGCATTTTGCTAGGGCGGTTAGTTAACTTATCTGGGATTTCCACTGCCATCAAACAGTAGATTTGGTGTAAACATGGGAAAGCTTCTTTAATAACTATCTTTTGAAAACGAAGCTAAAAAGGAAGAAAGGAACAAAACTATCCTCTGAAATTGTACAGTTGAAATCATAATTAAAATGTAAGATGAACTTTAAATCACATAACAGCTTCTGATATCACATCTGAGAGACTTCAGTTATCAATGTCTTTACTATAGAAAAAATTCTCAATTGAGCAGAATGAAAGAGAGGAGTGATGAACGGATCTAAGTACAGGACAAAGCTTTGTTGAATTGAGTTGGGTATATTTGAAAGCAATATGTGTTTAATTGTTTGAGAGAGTATGTTATGTGGGGTTCTATGCATGCAAAAGTTGAGAAGACAAGTTTGATGGTAAGGTAATGCTAGGTCAGAACGGTTAGTAAGGATGGTAAAAAAATGCAACATTGTGGAACTTAGCTTGGTTAGCCACCTGATATTGGACCGGTCGTATTCATATCATCATGTTCCTGTTTTGTATTTTGTTTGTTTTAATTTAAGATCCACATTCAATAGTCATAGTCAAAACTTTTATTATAAAATATGCAGGTTTCCTTGAATCGTTGTGGAGGGACATAGACATGAAGAGACTTCAACATGACACATCCGATGAACTTAATCTGGTCATCATATCCCACGGCCTTGCTATTCGTGTCTTTCTCATGAAGTGGTTTAAATGGACTGCCGAGCAATTTGAGTACCTGAATAACCTGGGGAACTGTGAGTTCAGAGTGATGCAGCTAGGCTTCAGCGGAGAATACAGTCTAGCAGTCCATCATACTGAAACAGAAATGCTAGAATGGGGCCTTTCCCCTCAGATGATAGCTGATCAAAAGTGGCGAGCTCATACAAGTCGAGGTGATTGGATTGAGAAATGTTCATGGTACCTGGACACATTCTTCGACCAGTTCGCAGACTCGGATGCTGAAGAAGACTGAAAACTTAAAAAGGTTATTTGACTATTTTTTTTCTCCTGTAAATGAGTTTGTGATTTGTTCAATTCATATTGCATTTGATAGGAGAGAGGATACCCTAGTGTTCTTTATTCTGCTATACTGACTATAACATGTACTATTTTAGTTCAAGGTGAAGTATAGAAATTGATCTCAATATTTACTAATGCTTTTCTGTATGGACTTGTTTCCTTGTATGATATCAAACGGCATTGATTCCAAGCAGATATTTTCCTCCCATATTTGGCCTATGAAATCAATTGTTTATGGATCAACAAGAAAAGAGAGTATTCTTGTAAAGTTCGAGGAAAAAAATAAGAATACGAAGAAACTCACCCTAAATTGTAAAAATATATTGATTTCAAAAATAACAAACAATCATATTATCGATCATTATTGACGAAAAATATCATTGATGAATAATCATTGACAAAGTTGTGTGGGTGATGATGACCAAATGTATCACTATCGGCTATTGTATCGGAATAAACAACTTATATTGATTTCAATCAAAATTATCAATAATCGTATTGTTGGAAATGAATATGCGAGTGATCATTTACTAAATTATATATTATTATTTTTTTGAAAAAGGCCACATCGACTATGCCTAAGACTCCCCAATTGCTTAAGCCACTTCTGTACAAGTTTACATGTCCAAAATTTCTAAAATATATGTTATTATGTCAGTACACTTGTTAAGGTGTTGATGTTTGTTTGAAATAGGAAAATACCGCTTGTCATTGTAAAATGTCATTTTTAGTAAATGATCACTTTTTATGAGAATTATCAACATAGTTTCAAAACTAATACTCATTTAGCCCCGTTTGATTTCTATTCTTTGACCACAAAAATAAAAAATATGACCTTCATCCATCACATCAAGTTATCATATTTGACTTTTTATCTTTTGTGTGGATCCCTTAATGGTTTTATTTTTTATTCTCATTCTTAAATATATGGGAACCAAATAGGGCCTTATCGTTTTCGTGAGACAATTGATTGGGTATGATAATTCTAAATATCTTGAAAGATGGTTCAATTTATCAAGATCTAAGTGTCTTTATAAATCTCAGTGAACTGTCTCGTAAAATCGATACTAAATGAATTTTATTTTGAAAACTTTCAAGATTTGCCTCAAAACTTGTGTGCCCACCGAATGACATGTATGATTTTTGTCAACTAAAAGGAATACAATTAACGTGTAAAAGTGACTATTCTCTTAATTTTTCGAAAAAGTGACCATTTTAATCTCATTACAAAACTAGTGAAAATGAAGAAAATGTTGTCATAACAAGAACATACGTACTTAGAAGTACCTTCTTAGCCTAAATTATCTATGTGAAGGTGCATTATGCAGTTAGCTTACGTACGAATACATTGTGCATTTATTTTATAAGCAAAAAATTAACTTCAGTTCTCAATTTCACTGTTAAATTAAAGAACTAACTCAATTTTAAAATAACTTGATTTTTGAATTTTTTTATGCAAGTGGAAAGTTGATAATCCAACTCAACACATTAAATTTAACAACTAGCTCGATTTTTAAATAACTTCAATTAAAATTTGACTTGTTTCTTGCAGGTTGAAGTTCCATATCCAACCCAAAGAAGAAGATAATTGAGAACTTGAGTAATATTTTTGAGATTTACACTGAACATTTTTGCAAGTTAACTCAATGAAGTCGAGCAGTTTTCCCTGCCCTCTACAAGTAAATTGCATTCTATTGCATTTGCCTTCTAAATCAATAATCTGACATATAAATTGTTGCGAATCAGACAAATGTTCTTCAACTACTCAAAGGTAGAAGCAGCTCAGGTGTTTCCCTCGATACAGAAGCCGCGAGATTCTTCCTCAAAGCCACCAAGTCTTCTCCTGCATTGCATATATATGCAGAAGCTTGTCTGCCCGACAGAGTCGCTCCTTCCATGCTGTCGATGTAATCCTGGCGATCAGACAGCGTTTGAATCAAATCTTCTGTATTTACAAACACATCCATACCCTAGAAAGGCTATAATGACTAGAACCAAGAATTTGTCTGCCGTATATCGTTGAAGGGTTAGCTCCTAAGTTCTGAATATATTTCTTCCTCGTATATTTTTCTCAAATACAAAAAACATCTATTTCGATGATGACTTTGGTCCCTGAACATTTAACCCTCACTCAACGATACACTATATTTATTCCCACTCGGAACGTTAAGTGGTAGAATCTTGCATAAAAGAGCCTGTCAATGTAACAGATATGTGGAAAGTAGTGTTACCTGTTTCGTATAGGAACCAGCAAGGAAGAAATTTGGCACTGGTGTCTTCTGATCAGGCCTAAATGGATCTTTACCAGGTGCTTCACGATATAGTGATTGCCCAATTTTGACAACTGATGACCAAGTGACTTCAAGACCTTGTGAAGAAGGAAATAGAACCAGAACCTGATACCATGAAACATTATTCTTTATCCGTCAATGATCTAAAAAATGGATGATGTAAGAATACACTTTTCGTTTCACTTAAATGCATTTCATGAAATCATGTTCTAATCCTCTTTTTTTCCCTTTCTCCCCACCTGTAAAAGTACAGATTTCTTTTATTTCCCCTTCTAATTTTTTGGGAAGGCTATCGGGGGAGTAGCAGTTACTGTTGAGTTACACTTTCAGTCTAGAATTGATTCAAGTTTGTCAATAGAAGTATATTATTTCACCATTGTCTCCGACACACATTCTCAGTTTCACTTAAAAAAGAACAACTTACAGTCTCGTTACTATACCCAATTAAATATTTTTTTTGTTGGCTTGGTTGGACTAGAAAAATGAAGTGGTGATTTTCTACCATTAGTAAGAAAAGAGTTTTCAGCTTTGACTAATGCATGCAATGCCCAAGTTCTCGGCAGAATGAAGGGATAAAGTCCAACTAGCGCCAACCTGCTTTGAAACTCTCGTTATAATTTCATCATTCGGCAAAGGCATGTATGGGTCCCCAGGTGTAAGCACACATCTGTAAGCAACCACCGAAAACAAGGGTGTTTAGATGGATAAAGATCATCAGTAGTCACTAAACTATAGCTCATAATGGCATGAATATGTGCTAGATAAGCACGATGATCTTTGTCATTTGAACAGATATAGAAAAAAACACTGTTCTTACTGGAGCAATGAACCTTGACCCTCAAGATAATAATCTTCAGGAGATGTGAGTGCAAGGTCTGCAAAGCAAGAAAAATCTGCATCTGATGTGTAGAGGAGATTGTCCAAGCCAGCCGCTTGTCTTAATTGCCTGGCCATCACATAATAGATCGTTAATTTCATAGTTAATTTCATAATAGCAATTGCATATCACATGAAAATAGTTGTCCCTCGGCTAAACAGAAATTAAATTGCAGAGTTTAAAATCTTTACCTTGCACGTTCCAGGTCCTGTAACTCTGTAACCCAGCCATTATAACGAAGCTGTACTGTAACAACAGGTACTCCAACTAGTTTATAGATATAATCAAAGAACTCCAATTCCCTCCACTTCTGTGGAAGTAATCTTTTAATTCCTGGGACATCACAAGCTGTAATCACATAGAATTTTTAGCTTCATATGAGTTTAGCAACACGGGAGAAAGGGACGTGGGGGTGTTGGGGGGGTAAAATAGAGAAAGTACAGATATTGATTATAACCTGCTACATAAGCATCAGCTTTTACAATTTTCTTTTGAGTAGCCTGGACAATAGGGACACCCTAAATTAGTGTCCATACCTCGCCTAACATAAACAAACATGCTCACTTCATGCGCATAGGTCAATACTGAATATGAAACATCGTACATCCGCAGAGTGATGGTTCATTATAACATGAGAAATATGGATTCCACATATCAGTTGCTTCATTTCTCCATTTGTAATTTAATTCATCAGCTTCTAAAAATGAGAACAAAAAGTATGTGCATACGATTTCAGTTGATTATGCAGATTATTTTAAAGATGTATAGTTGTGGACAATTAAAAAAGTCAACAAATTCCAAGTGACTATTTACAAACTTAAATAACATAGACATGCAGTGCACTCTGTAAAGTGATCGCTTAATGAAGAAATATCATGTCGTTAATAGAAAAGCATTACCAAATGACATGCAATACCACTTTTTATTTTTCAAGAAGTTGAATATTCTTATGATCAAATTAATATTTTGTGGACTACTAAATATCCCTCAGCACTTATCGAGGATTTAAACCAAAATGATATCACTTGTAACTATACACTTTTGTGGAGCAGAGGCAAGATTCACTTGAGGCAACAGAAGGAACGATATGTGACACTTTGATTAAACCAAAGGTTCATGAAAAGAACTAATATTTTAAGATCACATTGGTTCATTTTGTTGCTCCATGTCCTTCTTAAAGATACTTGATTTGTCACAACAAAAAATTCTGATTAGGCTTACAAATTTTAAAAGGATCAGGTCAAAACACTTATACCTTGGACATGGCAAGTCCTGTTACATATATCCCTCCATCAGAAGATCTATGATAGAGAACTTCTCTGCATCCCCACCTCAGATGGAACCTGTTCCGATGTAGAAATATAAAGAATGTAACAGAAAAATAAATTGCTGAAAAAGAAATAACATCATTTTTATATACTTTCACAACCATATATGCAGTCATACCTGCCTCCCTTGTCTATAATATACTTTTTGATGGGACCACTTAAATAGATGTCAGGAGAACCTTTAAGCATGCGTAGCAGGGAAGCCTCAGTTTTAGTTGCAAACAATGAAAATATAGTGAGCATACAGCGGGCACTCATATTATCACAGTCAATGAATCCAAGGGCATAAGCAACAGGATCCCACATTCGCTGGATACTAGCGCGTGTCCCTCCTTTGGATAAGAACCAATCGGAGAAGCTTATCTGTTATAAATATTCGACCAATTTAACAAGAAACATATGCCAGAGAAATTATTCCTCGAAAATAATGGCAACAAATCAAGCACCAGAATATAAGAATACGAGATGCTAATATTATGAAGAGAATACAAACATTATCCAGATCCCGTATCTGCCTCATTGCACCATCTGGATCAACAAGTGCCCTAACAACTGGACTAAGGGCAAGAGCCACAGCATTTCTTGCTTTATCATAAGTCTGCAAATCGAAGTATAAATACATTTAGATGATCCCAGTGAATTAAAAAAAGATTTGGAACAGTCTGTTTCAACTGTCTGACACACAGCAATACATGATAGGGTAAAGATTTTCCACTTCTCCCGCTTTATAAACAAATAAAAGCATTATCCAGAAAGCATATTGTAATGTATGAATTTGGTTGCACCAGGAGTAATTACATTGAAGTCTGTAAGTCATTTGAAGCTGAAAGTGACTGTATGCATTTCTCGCAATGGCCCATTCTCAAATCAAACACAAACTAAAACCCGCAGGAGATTCCAAGTCACGTGTTGATGCTCTCCTTAAGACATATTTGTCCGACTACCGGTGATGCACACAGGAAAGCAAAATTTTGATTCATGCACTAACAAAAACAACCCCAAACACCAAGGAGAAAAGAAGCCGCCATACGAGAGGCCTCGTATTTTGTATATCCAGATTAATAAAATATTTTAGAATGCATGAACTTTTTAATGCAAGAATAAGAAGACACGGAGGAGAAATCATAATCTCTGATTTTCCAAATGATCCATCCACTTATTTATAGATTATTGTTACAACCCTTACAAAAGTTTACATCTCTTCATTTGAGTCACAACCTTTAGTTTTTGAATTAAATAACTCAGTGAGGATGAAATGGACCAAAATGAAAATGTGTAAAAGCTGGAACAGGTGCAAAAAGCTCATGTTCGGACAGTGCTGCGGCAGAAGCAAGCGCAACTTGCCAACTACCTCAAGGTTGCAGTGCGACTGCAGGAAGCTTGCTGCGGTCACATGTTGCCAACTGCGGCCTCCGGTCACTTCTGACCTCCGCTCCCTTTGTTCTGTCCTTTTTATCTCTTCGTTCTAACCATGAACCATGACTCAAAATACTACCTACAATGTCAAAATGACATTTACAGAAAATCTCTCCCACAATTCTCCACCATTTTCAAATGATGACGTTCTAAAAAAAACCCCTCATAGTGGCTTCAGAAAACTTGTGCATTGATGAAGGTGTCTTTTAAACTTGAACCTCCACTTAGTAAAAGTATATCAAATATTAACCAAGGTGGCATGGTAGACAAGCTTTGAATCAGCAACCCTATGCGGCTAACCGAAAACACTTCATGCACTCACTTCCAAATCCTTATGTGTTTATATACCGACCTGTAAATATGCCATGTGTCTTTTATAGAACCACGCACCAATAAAAGAGAATACAAGGCAGTAGGGTCATGGGAGAGAGAGAGAAGAAAGTATGGAAAGAGAGACAAAGAAAAGATACATGCATTGGGTGTTTTAGTTTTGTGTAGAGAGAAGTTGAGAGAGTTACATGAAGTCATGTAGTCAAAGATTTGATTAGTAAGTTGTTTCTCTCTCTCCCGAGGGCGCAGGCAAATTCGCTGCACCACACAAATTCGTGTTTCCTCTCTGCTACTCATTTTTTTTCTCCATTGTGTTCGTTAGTGTGTTGCGGCAATTCCTTCCCAACAGTTTCCAAGATTTATTAATCCCTTGCGTTCTGCAGATATTCTGAGCCCTTTGAGGAATCATTTTTCAATTCCTTTACCCATTATGTACTACAAGAAGATTAGAACAGGGCTGACGAGGAGGAGCAAAAAAAGAAAAATGCCTTTCCTTTTATTTCTTGACTTTTGGGATATAACTTTTCCCCGAGTGATTTCAAAAAAGACTATCTAACTAACATTTTAGAACAAGATAGCAGAGAAGAAACTAATATGTTAACAATTTACAGACTTGAATTTTGTGTGGCTATGCTGTTGGGCACTGGGCCAGGGGAAGGTATAGGGATTTCACCAACTTTTCAACTCCGAGTAACTATTTAAGATAAATTTCTGATGAATTCCAGTGTGAATATGAAGCTTTAACTTCTGCATATTATGGCTGTGGCTGGGATCGTAGAAGGTAAGAGAAAAGAACATAATATGCTACACCACTGAAAGAGTCACCAAAAGCAGATATTTTTTTTTTTTCCAATCTTATTGGGAAGGAAACTAAAACTGCAACTCAACTGGAAAGCAAAAGAAATATATAATGCAAACAAAGAAATGTGACTTGTAGAAATTCTTCAACAGTGCTCAAAATGAAAGACCATATGCTGCCTTCGAATATAAAGTATGGAATACACAATGAACAAGTACCGGTTTTAGACATTATAATCAAGATGGTGAACTTGTCAACTGACTCCACCACCGACAGTAGGTAAAGGTTCAGTTACAGCATTAGAAGTAGTGACCAGGAAGCACACAATTCAGGTTACAGTATGCCCATTTAAATAGTGAAAATGAAAGATAGATTTGTTCTTCACAGACGGAGATAGTTGACAAATCAAAACGCAGAATAAACATTCAGAAGAGAATATAGAAACCATCTACGAAATTCTATTACCTTGAGCTGATTTGTAGACAAAAATGCACCTATTCCATGTAATGGTGCTCCAAATGGAAAACGAAAATCAAGTTCTGCAGTAAGAGTTTTCAATTAGACATACAACGTTTGATAGAATTACGTCAAAGATAAAACAACGTCTTCAATTCATACATGAAAAAAGTATCAAACATTGACAATAGATGTTTGCATGTTGTCAAGAAAATATTATCATACCGCCTATTTCACCCCCTCTATTAACAAAAGTATGAGTATGATCCTTCACAAGCAAATTTTTGTCAGCACCAACCTATGGCAAAGCAAAGGAAAATAATCAGAGACCATCAAACTTCAATTATTAGATGAATTCATCAATTTGCAGAAATCACCAAATATCTCAGCTATGCATAATTTGATCTTGGGATGACAGGTTGATACATATATCCAGACCATCACACATGTATTTAGCAGAACTCATTTAAAATCAATGAGCAATCTTCTCAAAAGTTTTCGTCACAGCCCATAGAAGAGAAAAACAAATGTTGCTATTGAGGGAAGAAAGAAAAAGCATGAGGGAAAATTGATTAATTTAAAGTTCCTCTAGGAGTTCAGTTGAAGACAACGCCATGACACCCAGATTTCAGTCCTGTCAAGCATGGCCATATTCCTTAATACAGATAAAAAAATTTCGATGCATTAAATTTGGTATTCAGAAATTAAGCCATGGAAGTGGCTTATCAAAAACGTAGTAACATTTTCTATGGTAAATACAATGGCATAAAATGATCGTGCTGAATAAATAGGAGGGTTTATATGACCTGTATCAGCCATATGTTATTCGCATTCACAATGTAAGTGAAATTGTATAATCTATTTCACTCATCTCATTATAGAAACTATTTCTTCTTTCCTATTTTTGCTAATAGTCCCAACTACAAAAATATTTCTGTGACACTAACTAAAGGATGTACCTACATGCATGGTAGACAAAGACTGATGGTTCAAATGGATGGAAGTATCCACATATAACAATTTTCCGGTTATTAGCCAAAAAAAAAAAAAAAATAGAGGAAAAAATTCATGAACTTAGCAAATGTTTGGGACAAAATTTCCTTCAGAAATTTGGAGGGTGGGGGGACAATTGTTTCAGCTTATTTGGCAGAAAACTAGCTGTAATTACCTTTTTCATTAAACGAAAAAGATTATTGTAGCAACCAAAGAAAACGTGGAGTCCCATCTCAATATGGTTTCCACGTTTGTCAACAAATGAACCCACTTTTCCTCCAATGAAAGACCTTGATTCATATATATCCACCTGCAAATATCAGAGCATGAAAGTCACTATGTTTGCGTGCATGGAAATACATAGACTACTTCAATAGACTGAGAAAAATGATATTCTTATATCCAGCATTAATAAATACTGCAACTAAGATGGATATTGCATATTACATTTGCACCGCGAAGTCAATTTTGTAGTCAATATAAACATTGCAGGTGGTCTGATGATCAAGAATTCAGATGGACAGCACAAATAATAGCATTTTGTTTGTTTATATGATTATTTGTTACTTATTCCTATCAATACATTGCTCCTTTTTGCAGGGTGGGATCAGTACCTCGTGGCCTTGATCCAAAAGTTCCACTGCTGTTGACATGCCAGCAAGCCCAGCTCCGATAATAGCCACTTTTAGTTTGGGGCCCCTGTAATGTTCAGGTTCCGGAGGAAACAAACCTTTTGGAGCTGCAAGGTGTAGCAGTAATTTTAGTAAATGAATATTAATTCCAGATTTTTTTCTAAATTCATTAACAAGTCTCCAGTCTCAGTCTAGAAATCAAACTCATAGATGATGAACTTGATCATGGCCGCAAAACATATGGAACCAGGTAAATTTGTCCAGTTAGCTTTCCAACCAGGTACTTAGAGCATGTTTTAATAAAAAATTAATCTTAGAAAGCAAGTAAAAATAAGTTAACTTTCACCAATGAAAAAATTATTTACTCTAAAATTTACTTTGACAAAAGTGTTGTTAAGCTTAGACTAACATGCTCTTAGCTCACGTTGGTGAACAAGTTCTCAAACACCCAAAACTTTATATACAAAGTGAATCGCCTAACAACCAACCAAAATGAAGATAGCATAAATTTCAATTGAATAACCAAATTTCATCTGCATTTAAAAGCACAATTGCAAAGGAGCGATGAAATTGATGAAAGTTACCATTATTGCTCATGTCAGAAACATTAGAGTCCAAATCAGAGCGAATTATGAACCTCCGAGTCCTGAACTGAGTGGACGACACACGCCTGTTACATAATCCGGCAGACCCACATCGAAAACCAGTCCGTTTTCCATTTGGCGGAAAACAGAGTGAAGCAGAAGAAGAAGCCATGTAGTTGATACAACCTTATACAGATATGTAAAAAAGCCGAAACTGAGGTAACTGAATTGAGTGAAAAGATTGTTTATTGAATAATTTAGGAATGAAGACAGAGTATAATAAGAGAAGAAGAGAAGAATGGATGAAGGCGGTTTGGGGGTATCTGAAGAAGAGATGCCGTGAGTGCTCAATTTGTCATCACATCACAAGAATTGGAGGGTAGAGTGTGGGAATTGGTTTATCGGTGCTCGTTTGTATTCTTTATTGGTTGGTAAATGGTATCACTGTCGTTGCAAGATTGGTAGCAACGAAAAAATACTATCATATTTTGAAATTTAATATTTTCTTGTTTTCTAAAGCAAGTCTTTGTTTCACGAAAATTTATAATTAAATAAAAATGAGTGATAAATAAGTGAATAATGCGTAAAGATCTGTTCAAATCAAACGTGTTGCTGAAAATTAAATTTGCTCGTATCTATACAATTATAAATACTTAAATTACTTTTTAACTCCACATTTTAAAAGGCATACAATAAGTATCTATCGCTCTCATTTCTTTTTTACGTCCCTTCTTTTTTTATTTTTACTTTTACTTTTCATGGGACAGGATCAGGATGGGGAGTCACGCCCTGCCCAACTCCGCCAACCCGACGGGGTGATAGGGTAGGGCAAGAATTTTTACCATCACTAACCAGAGACGTAATCTAACCTTTTAAAAATATCACGAACCTATCATATTTCTAAATTTGAGGGTTCAATGCACTCCTGCCACATCTTGATCTATATATCATCTAAAATTAGGTTTATATACTTAAAATGCACTTATAAGGCAGACGATACAATTAATTGCAATTTAATTAGTTCAAAAGTTGACCATAAAATTTACTTATTTTGTTAAAAAATATTGAAATGATTAATATAGTACATTAACATAACATTCTATTATATAGCATGGTATTTATTTAGAGCCTGTTAGAGCCACATTATAATGAGAATGAGAATGAAAAATAGAATCGTTATGGGCCCCACACCAGAAATAGAAATTCAAAAATGATGGCTTGATGTGATGGATAACGATCATATTTTTCATTTTAATGAGATAAAAATATGACGCAAACAGGGGCTTAATAACCAATTTTGAAAGTGTATAACGTTTTAAAGAACTAACTTAACTATATTTTATATGAATTATAAAGTATGGGTTTATATTTAACATCTTATTTTAGTTTTAGCTAAGTTATATTTGAATTGTATAGCACACATCAACCACCAAGTGTCCACATCGAAAGTCATATGAGTTCTGTCATCCCACTCTGGACGACCTCAACAAATGAGTTCGACTAGTTAAATGTTTAAGAAGGATATTGAACTCGAATCAAGCAAATCTCATTCAAGGCACGGAATTTGTCTCCCAACCATCTAAACTAATCAATAAGAAAGAAGAAGGTGGAATAGGTGCCAAACATATGACCTAGGTTGTAACAACCTAAATCTTGGAACTCGAAATTAGTATAAAAACAATAGTGTTCCTTTTGTTTCTTTCAAAAATTCAAGTTAAATTAAAATTTTCTTAATTTTCTTTTAACTTTGTAGTTACCCTCTGCGTTCTATTACAAATTCTAAAATTTATTGGAAACAAATTATTCAAGGCAGATAACTTTGATTTGTTAAATAGCGAAGTTGAAACGAATCGTTAAAATGAATGTTATGTGCATTAAAGGATAAATTTTAGCAATGCGCTAACCAATGATCGAGCTTAGTTGGACCATTTATCAAATACATAATTTCATGAAATTTTTATAGTATTTTCTAAACTTATTCAAGTACAACATAGTAAAATTTTAGAATTTTCTAATATCATTTAGGCACTCAAATATGTGGGGGCAAAAAAAATTTTGTTTTCAAGTACACTAAACACAGTACACGAAAAATGGCACAACTTATTCTACTGACCTTCAGTTGACTTGATCCAAAAGCCAAAGGATAGAGGACTTATAGGGCTTTTAAACTACACTAGTTTTTTTCCCAAAAATTGAAAGAATTCTGTTTGAAATGACGAGAAAAAGTTCAGCTAGTAAGCTGAATTTTTTTTGTTTACAAGTCTAACGTTTAATCTTAACTTTTTTAGAAACTTTTAATTATATGCATACTTCAACCAAATAATAATTTAAATGTTCACATCAAGAAGAAGATCTAGAAAATCTTAAAGAAAGATAAACTAACATTTTTAAAAAATCAAACGTAAGTTGTATAATTTGTAAGAACTAGTAACTATTCAAATGTGACTAATTACACAAATGAAGCATATTTTTCCCTCCAGATCTTCTACAATCGACTTAAATTCCACTTCCTCGACCATCCTTTAATCTGAAAATTTTGTCAACATAGAAGATGTGAACTTTAAGCTCAGTAAGACTAATATCACATTGTGCACCCTATTTGTCATAAACATATATACAAAGTCATAGGAAAGAATTTAACATTTTACATAGATGAATACTAGCAAATGTATGATTTCAAAGAATCCCTTGGGGTCATGTAAACCAATTATGATTATACATAAACTTCTAGTTTCAAAAATTCTTCCACATATCACAAGTATACATACATACATAATGAACAAAAAGGTAAATACTTAACACGACCTACCACCTTTGCTATTTCTTTAACCTTAACTTAAAATAAAAGATATTTCTCAAAGAAAATTAAAGTAAATTTGAATTTGAGAAGACGTGTAATGAAAAAGTGACTTTCCTCTTCTTGTAATCTTCATTTTTAGTGAAAAGCTAAATGGGAGAGTTATATTATTATTAAGGGTAATTAGTACAAAACGTCCTTATTTTTCAAGTTTATTGTGAAAAACGTCCTAACCTTTCATTTTTTGACATTTTTCACCCGTACCTTTTACATTTTTTTGCGCAGAATGTCATTTTCATTAGTTTTTGACAATTTTACCCTCCATTTAAATAAAATAAAAATAAAATAAAGAACTAATTGCAATAATGGTTCCAAATTTTCAAAAAAAAAAATACAAATCGGTCACAATTTATTGTGAACTGAAAAATTTTAAAATTACCCAAAAAAATAAGGGAAACTTGAATGTACAGAGAAATAATTAAGAAATAGAGAAATTTTTGAACTATAGCTGAAACTGAAAATCTTCAAAAATGGATAAGCATAACTCTCAATTTTTATTCAGTGAAGAGTAGATGGAAGGCTTGAGGCAAAAATCACCTAATCTTCAAAGTTTTTCATTTCCATTGGTTATGATTAAAAAAATTTCTCAATTTCTCGATTATTTCCTCTATTTAAATTTAAAATTTTTTAGTTTACAATAAATTATGACCGATTTATAATTTTTAAAAAAAATTGGAACTATAATTGCAATTAATTCTTTAATTTTTGTTTCATTTCAATTGATGGTAAAATCGTCAAAAGGACCTTTTGTGAAAAGAAATGTGGTAGCTAGAAGCAAAAATGTCAAAAAAAAAAAAAAATGAAAGGTAGGATGTTTTCAACAATAAACTTGAAAGGTAGTACAATAAAGACCACATATCAATTCGAGTGTTAGCAACACAATTGAAATGAATTAACAACTATAATATTCTCCAAGAAATTATGTATTATGCATTATGAGAGCTTCCCCTTTAGTTGTTAGATGAATGTATGTTTTTCTAGGACAAGATTTAGGTTAAGATCCATGTCATAAATGATTTCAAAGTAGTTGATTCAAAGAAGGAAACCATCCCGAAAAATATACCTTGCAGTCGCACCCCCATAAAAGCATTCCAATCGCAACGCGTATGGACATGTGATCGCATGCCTCAACTTCTTTTCTTTACACTTTGGTCCCCAATATTCTCCCTTCTTCTAGCTTGAGTCCATCTTCTATTCTCCATAATTTAATCCATGTAATCTTCAATCATCCATTCTTGATCCAAATCACCTTATGAACAATTACAATTTAGTCCCCCAAATTTTATATTTCTTTCTTTTTCGCCCTTCTTTGACCAATTTTCATTTCTTTTCATAAAAGTTCATCCAAACTTGATTTTATCCTACAACAATCAATATGTAATCAAATTAAGTAATAATTCTCAAATTGACTCCCAAACACTTTTGATGGTCCAAATTGGTATAGAAATCACACCTATGAGTAATCGTCTATGATCATAGTTATTATTCCCTCCTTTAACACTTCACTTCTTGGAATCCGGCGTCGAACTATCTAGTTTAAAAATTTAACTTTCTAGGAAATTAACTAATCTTCCTTAATATTTTGAGTGGAAATCAACCCTGAGGGTTAGATCAATAGTTAGGCATTGGGTTTGCTCCTCAGTGATCACCAGTACGAGTTCCCTCAGGACCACTGAGGTGAGTAAATTTCAGGGCCTCGTGGGATTAGTCGAGGTGCGCGTAAGCCACCTTGGACATCCACGATTATAAAAAAAGAAAAAAAGAAAAAGGGAAGAATATTTTGAGTGGAAATCAACAGCATTTGCTTGATAATACCAGATTTGCTGCGTGGATTATTATAATCTCGACACTTTAAGACACTTCGCTGTTGGACATATCTTTGAGCAAAGCTCTCCTATATCTGGTTATCGAAGGAGGGTGTTCGACAACTGGGGAGTTGAGCATTATACAAACTGAAGCAGTCTCTTCGAGGAGTGGGGGCTTATGCATATTTTCTCGTCCAGAGTTAAAGTTGCACTTAGACTACGTTTAGAGAAAAAAACATTATAAGTTGCATACTCATTTTAAAGTCGAAAAAGATAACATACAATAAGTTTAGGAGGCGGGCTCAATCTAACCTTCAGCTAAGATGTCGTGCCATAGTAAACTTATTCGAGAAATAGTGAGTACTATTGAGAACCGTGTAGTATGTACTAAATATGTCGATATGTTCGTTCACTTGATGGAAAATAATTGCCCTTTCGATAAAATTTCCATCTTTAAGAACCGGGGCCTGACGCCTCCATCCCTCCATCGCACAACTTGCTCCGTAACTGCTTTATATTTACACACTCATTTAACATTTACACAATATCCTTTAATCCTTCTCAAATCTCTAATTCTCAGAATAAAATCTATATTAACTGAACTGTAAAACTCATATTATTATGGTTTTAGGTCCTAACTATTCTGATCACCCTAATTAAGGAACATAATTGTGTGAATCAAAGTCATTTTTGCAAAATTTTCTTAAATTTCAAGAAACCTTGCATATGCATATGACCACATGCTTCTGGCTAAATATATTAATCATTGATTGTAATCTAGGATATAACATAGACAAATGCCTGTGGGTTATAATAACCCACCATTAGAGACGTTTTATTTTCTCATTGTATGAAATAACTAATTTGACGAAGAAGATCGAAATCTAGGTATTTATCAAAATAATCACATATATTCATCAGGAAACGACGCTATTACATCACTTACTTGGATTGGTATTTGTAGAGATCTTCTTTTCCTAGGCAGAAATGAGACTCGTACAATCAGATATCCCAAGAAGAAAAGATTGAAGCTACTTGTGTTCCAACCTATACTCATAGGAAAAGCTCAAACGACCTTAAAAAAAAAAGAAAAGATACATGTACTTAAAATTGACTCGTGGTTGGGTAAAGAATACCTAGAGGTGTGAGGCAACTCTTTCTAAGAACTCGACAAAAAGTCCCCGAAATTTTGGGAGAATGGGGACTCCTCATAAAAAAGTTCGCAGTGACTAGGCCAGAGTATACTTTATCGACGAGGTACATAGTCAAATCCCTTTTATAAACTCATTATCTACCTCGTGTCCAGCTTACTCTTCTACCAACACAAGAAAGGGAGAGATAGAGACTTACCACCGGAGGGAACCACCAAGAAGAGAAAACAAATAGTCGATAATTGCTAATGCAGCATCATCAAGATTCTCATTGCACATTGCAATACTTAGCATTGCATGTGAATCTTGATGACGCTGCATTTGCAAGAAACGACTCACGATCAATTTGTTGCAGATTGGTTCAAGACACTAAGCCAGGACACAACTGAAAATGCAATAACAAAGAAAAATTTTCAAAAGAAAAAAAATTCCACTTTTGACTCGTAAATAAATATAAAGGAGGGATAATTTGACCAAGGCGAGATGAACTCAGAAAGAAGAAAAATGTGATGGTGGAGAGGAAAATCATACTGCAAAGTTGAATACCTATATAACAGAAACCCTAAAACATTTTAGACTGAAATCAATTCATTACGGGGTGATGGGACCCTCAAAGTTGATGTTCAACTTTTTTATTTGTAAATAAGTTTGTCAAACGTCTTTCCTTTTATTTCTTTCAAACACGTTTGATACGTATGTGTGACGGAAGCCAAAATTGGACCGTTGATCAAAATCCAGTACCCAAATGCAGGTCAAACTATACGCGCGTCCCATTTCTACCTTTTTTTCTCAACGATCTCACCTATAAATGGGAGAAAAGACACAATAAACTCATCATCTCCAATACGACCAAGATGTTGGGCAACTCTTCGGAATACAACAACAATGGTCAAACCCACCATCCACGCTTCCTCCCCAAGCGCATAATTCTACTCCGTCACGGCGAGAGTGCGGGAAACATCGACGGCAGCGCCTACACCACCACCCCGGACCACAAAATCCCCTTAACATCCCAAGGCATCGATCAGGCCAAGAATGCTGGGTGTCGGATCAGGCAAGTGATATCCGATTCCGGCGAGCGTTCCAACTGGAAAGTGTACTTTTATGTGTCCCCATACGAGAGGACCCGCTCCACTCTCCGAGAAATAGGCCGGGCCTTCCCTAAGAAGAGAGTGATTGGAGTGAGGGAAGAATGTCGGGTTAGAGAACAGGATTTTGGCAATTTTCAGGTGGCTGAACGGATGAAGGCTATTAAGGAGACTAGAGAAAGGTTTGGAAGATTCTATTATCGATTCCCTGAAGGAGAGTCCGCCGCTGATGTGTACGATCGCGTTTCAAGTACGTTTTATTTATTTATTATTTTTTGTTTATCTTAGTACTTTATGCTTCAAACGTTGTACTATCTGTTTCTTTTGGCTAGAGATAAGTGCATGGTAGAGGGTAAATGACGAAAAGATTATAGTTTTCCTTGATGTTTCAGTTTTGGGTAAACGAGAATGCATGTGAATGGTTGTTTCATTTTCCCTTTTATTGGCCTTCAATAAACATATGATCCTACTGTTCTCCCCACTGTTTTAATGGTTTATTAAATTTACTATTTACATATTTTATATTGGTGGCTTTGTTGTTTCCAGTTGACAAAAATTATGTTATGTAAAAGTGTCTTCTCCAAAATCAGATGACATTCAATTTAGGATGATGGGGGACCACTTGAAGCCTTGAAAATCAAGAGAACCTCTCTTACATTACCTGAATGCTCCTTACTAGTCTTATAGTTCACACGGTTATCATTGATGTATTTCTAGAAAAAAAACTAACCTGTAAAAATACAAGCATTAAGTAATGAATATCATTTCTGTACTAGGAGAATTAGACAACCCAGTTGTATGAGCAACTGTTTAATCGACTCGTTCTGGTCTTAGAGGTTTTCCACTCAATGGTCTAATTAACCTGTCGTGTGTTCTTCGTTGTGCTATCCTTTATATTTATTTTGTATGTCCTTATTCTATACTCTGTTGATTATATCATGACATTATAATTACGAGCCAATCTGCTCTCTATTCACTTCCTAAGTGGGTGCACTAAAATTTGATTATGCAGTCCTATTTGTGCTATCCTTTTGATTAACACTTACTGTCTCTGATTAAGATTATCGTATTCATTAAGCTCTAGATGTATATTCATCGGCTTTACAACTATTCATGGAAGTGAAAGGTGGAGATTGGGACAAGGACTTGTCATAGATCTAGACTGTAAAGACTCCCCGAACTGAGAATTTCCTTGTCTTATTACAAACAACCTTGAAATCCTCGCACCCTCCTATACCTTGCAAAGATTCTCTAGCACAGGAAGAACCTTCCTCTGTGGCCATTCCTTAAGTCACTAATGAACTTGGAGACAAGTCTCTAGACTCCTTGTTGCATCACATTAGAGTAGTAGATCCTTGAACTTCCTTTCTTCGCCACTGATGTGTGAAGGTTTGCTTGAGGTCATACCGCCTCACACACCAACTTATATGTGGTTCAATAACCTACCTATGCAGTACATTAGAATAAAATCTCATGACCTCCCAGCTAATAAAGGTAGCTGGTGTACTCAACTGTAGACAATTTGCAAAAATCTCTTAGTTGACCCCTTGGGTTCCATTTTAGCAAAATGAACTCTTGATTCATTTGGCATGTCCTAAAAGTTTAAGTAATCGTTTATCCCATGCATCCAATCCATGAAAGCATTTGGTTAACCCTACTAGCAAATGAGGACAGGTTGACCATAATCATCCTAGTGAGATCATTAAGGTTCCTCATGTTTAGTCTAACCTTGTCAATGTGCTCTGTGTCCCTATCAATATGGAAGGGTATGTCTTCAAGTGGCAGCATCTAAGTGCCTCTATGGATAACTTACAAACGAGAATCCACCTGCCATAGTCGTCATTTTCGATTCATAGGCTATCATGTCTTAGGACATGTCCATGGAGAACAATCAGCATGAACTTACTGAGTACCATGATATAATGCATTGGGGGTGTAATGTATAGAAAGACTGGACGAATACATTTGGACTGGATCCCCAAGATAACTAGATTCTTGATGATCTCTTAAAAGCTAACTGTCTCTCTACTTGCTTAATGACCATTCCGTGGAACTCATGATGTACTGCATAATGAGTCTTAGGGATTTTGTAATACCATTATTGAATTCATTGTTTGTTGGTTTACTGACTATAAACATGGAAGTCTTCTATATTAGCTATGACTTCTTCCCCCTACCTCACTCAGGTGATTTGTTTTTCTTTCATTACTTTGTTGGGAGTGGATACAATGGAATTCTAAGTGTAGAGATGAGATGTTGGACCTTGGTATAAAACTAAAGATGCCAAGAACAATGCTGTTACTTGCCTATGAACAATTGCACCAAGTAGGATGTAAAACTTATTGGCTATTTTAACTAAGTGCAATATAGGTCATGGGCTAGTGATTTTCTTCTTCTTCTTTTTTTATTTTTTATGCACTTACAATTTCTATACGTTTGTCAGAGGCTAAGTAGACAAGATTTGATTTTTGACATATTATGTCTGTTAAATATACTCTTCAGTGTGTAGGATTAAATTGGGATTCTAAATATCTTACTTTTGTTCGCATATAGATTTTTATGATGTTTAATTTCATCTTTTAAATTGTAGTCAGTTAGTGGGCATTTTTCAAATGAACAATTCACATCTATATTATCAGCCTCTTTGGTAGAATTTCGGTGATGGGAAGTACCAGTTGTCAGTGGTTTTGATAAAATATTCATGCATCACAAAAAAGGGTTGCAAAGAATAAATATAAATTGAAGGAGGTTCTGCATACGGCTAAAAGTGAATATGTATTTCCATCTATCTTCAGTAGGGAACGTATATGGTCCATGCAATTGATGAAACCACGATGCTGTCTTATGGGCTACGTCAAGAAAAGGGGCTAGTGAGTGAAAATGTAGTTTAGCCTGAAATTCCTGTGGTATTTAATTTTTATATACCAGTATGCTAGAATTTTCTTCTTTTAAATTCGAGGATATTTCAGTTTTTTCAACCCAACCTCTTTCCACTGAAGCCCATAACCTTCGAACCCGTTAAGAAAATCCAAAACTTGCATAAGTATTGTTTATAGCTAGCTCGTTTCTGCTGTGACATGATTTAAATTTATAGTGTGTCACATCAGACTTTGATGTCGTATTCGGTCAGACTTTAAATGGATAACGGAGAGGGATCTTTCCTATCATGAAAAGTTCGTAATTTGTTCATGATCTATGAGGTTTACCCGTGCTTCAATATGTGACTGGGTCCTTCTATATTTGGAGGATAGATTTGAGAAATCTGTAGCTGTTTCTGTGCAAGTTAATGTATTTCCCTAGTTTTTAACTTAATTCACAAGAATCTGAGCTTCCCCTACCCATTCTCTACCTTTATTGTACAGATTGTTCAATATTCTTGTGGGATCATGTGTTTCTTTAGTGAAAGTGAACCATGAAAAATGAAAAATATTAAATATATTCTGATTCAGGTAAGACTCGTCTCTCTCTCTCAAACATATCTTTAAGTTGTATCTGTGAACTTGTTTGTACGGTCATATACTAACATTTCTATGTCCATGCATGTGGGAAATTCCCTTCCATGCTATCTGCTTTCCAATTGCTGTGCTGTGAAGCCTTTCAGTTCTCTCTTCTTCACTTTTTCACCTTTTGACACTATGTAACCCGCCATGAATTCCTTTTACTACCATACTTCATGAGTGCTTAAGTCAATGGACATTTATTTGTCTTGTTCATGGTCATCTTTTAACAGAGACTATATATTTTTAAAAAGTTAAACGTTAAATGAAGTTCCCTATCTCCTGCTTTTTTATTTTGGAACCATAAAACAATTTAGATCAGAAGCACAATTCAGTAATGCTGCATCTTAATAGTTTGGATCAGCTATGAATTGTGCTTAAATGCATGTACATTACTAAATTATTGGTCAATGAAAAGGCTATACCTCCTTCCTCTTTCCAGAGCAGATTTTGTTGGTTTCTTATGACAGTCCGCACACCATAGCATGTCAATAGGCATAACTTCAAGCATTTTGCTAGGGCGGTTAGTTAACTTATCTGGGATTTCCACTGCCATCAAACAGTAGATTTGGTGTAAACATGGGAAAGCTTCTTTAATAACTATCTTTTGAAAACGAAGCTAAAAAGGAAGAAAGGAACAAAACTATCCTCTGAAATTGTACAGTTGAAATCATAATTAAAATGTAAGATGAACTTTAAATCACATAACAGCTTCTGATATCACATCTGAGAGACTTCAGTTATCAATGTCTTTACTATAGAAAAAATTCTCAATTGAGCAGAATGAAAGAGAGGAGTGATGAACGGATCTAAGTACAGGACAAAGCTTTGTTGAATTGAGTTGGGTATATTTGAAAGCAATATGTGTTTAATTGTTTGAGAGAGTATGTTATGTGGGGTTCTATGCATGCAAAAGTTGATAAGACAAGTTTGATGGTAAGGTAATGCTAGGTCAGAACGGTTAGTAAGGATGGTAAAAAAATGCAACATTGTGGAACTTAGCTTGGTTAGCCACCTGATATTGGACCGGTCGTATTCATATCATCATGTTCCTGTTTTGTATTTTGTTTGTTTTAATTTAAGATCCACATTCAATAGTCATAGTCAAAACTTTTATTATAAAATATGCAGGTTTCCTTGAATCGTTGTGGAGGGACATAGACATGAAGAGACTTCAACATGACACATCCGATGAACTTAATCTGGTCATCATATCCCACGGCCTTGCTATTCGTGTCTTTCTCATGAAGTGGTTTAAATGGACTGCCGAGCAATTTGAGTACCTGAATAACCTGGGGAACTGTGAGTTCAGAGTGATGCAGCTAGGCTTCAGCGGAGAATACAGTCTAGCAGTCCATCATACTGAAACAGAAATGCTAGAATGGGGCCTTTCCCCTCAGATGATAGCTGATCAAAAGTGGCGAGCTCATACAAGTCGAGGTGATTGGATTGAGAAATGTTCATGGTACCTGGACACATTCTTCGACCAGTTCGCAGACTCGGATGCTGAAGAAGACTGAAAACTTAAAAAGGTTATTTGACTATTTTTTTTCTCCTGTAAATGAGTTTGTGATTTGTTCAATTCATATTGCATTTGATAGGAGAGAGGATACTCTAGTGTTCTTTATTCTGCTATACTGACTATAACATGTACTATTTTAGTTCAAGGTGAAGTATAGAAATTGATCTCAATATTTACTAATGCTTTTCTGTATGGACTTGTTTCCTTGTATGATATCAAACGGCATTGATTCCAAGCAGATATTTTCCTCCCATATTTGGCCTATGAAATCAATTGTTTATGGATCAACAAGAAAAGAGAGTATTCTTGTAAAGTTCGAGGAAAAAAATAAGAATACGAAGAAACTCACCCTAAATTGTAAAAATATATTGATTTCAAAAATAACAAACAATCATATTATCGATCATTATTGACGAAAAATATCATCGATGAATAATCATTGACAAAGTTGTGTGGGTGATGATGGCCAAATGTATCACTATCGGCTATTGTATCGGAATAAACAACTTATATTGATTTCAATCAAAATTATCAATAATCATATTGTTGGAAATGAATATGCGAGTGATCATTTACTAAATTATATATTATTATTTTTTTGAAAAAGGCCACATCGACTATGCCTAAGACTCCCCAATTGCTTAAGCCACTTCTGTACAAGTTTACAGGTCCAAAATTTCTAAAATATATGTTATTATGTCAGTACACTTGTTAAGGTGTTGATGTTTGTTTGAAATAGGAAAATACCGCTTGTCATTGTAAAATGTCATTTTTAGTAAATGATCACTTTTTATGAGAATTATCAACATAGTTTCAAAACTAATACTCATTTAGCCCCGTTTGATTTCTATTCTTTGACCACAAAAATAAAAAATATGACCTTCATCCATCACATCAAGTTATCATATTTGACTTTTTATCTTTTGTGTGGATCCCGTAATGGTTTTATTTTTTATTCTCATTCTTAAATATATGGGAACCAAATAGGGCCTTATCGTTTTCGTGAGACAATTGATTGGGTATGATAATTCTAAATATCTTGAAAGATGGTTCAATTTATCAAGATCTAAGTGTCTTTATAAATCTCAGTGAACTGTCTCGTAAAATCGATACTAAATGAATTTTATTTTGAAAACTTTCAAGATTTGCCTCAAAACTTGTGTGCCCACCGAATGACATGTATGATTTTTGTCAACTAAAAGGAATACAATTAACGTGTAAAAGTGACTATTCTCTTAATTTTTCGAAAAAGTGACCATTTTAATCTCATTACAAAACTAGTGAAAATGAAGAAAATGTTGTCATAACAAGAACATACGTACTTAGAAGTACCTTCTTAGCCTAAATTATCTATGTGAAGGTGCATTATGCAGTTAGCTTACGTACGAATACATTGTGCATTTATTTTATAAGCAAAAAATTAACTTCAGTTCTCAATTTCACTGTTAAATTAAAGAACTAACTCAATTTTAAAATAACTTGATTTTTGAATTTTTTTATGCAAGTGGAAAGTTGATAATCCAACTCAACACATTAAATTTAACAACTAGCTCGATTTTTAAATAACTTCAATTAAAATTTGACTTGTTTCTTGCAGGTTGAAGTTCCATATCCAACCCAAAGAAGAAGATAATTGAGAACTTGAGTAATATTTTTGAGATTTACACTGAACATTTTTGCAAGTTAACTCAATGAAGTCGAGCAGTTTTCCCTGCCCTCTACAAGTAAATTGCATTCTATTGCATTTGCCTTCTAAATCAATAATCTGACATATAAATTGTTGCGAATCAGACAAATGTTCTTCAACTACTCAAAGGTAGAAGCAGCTCAGGTGTTTCCCTCGATACAGAAGCCGCGAGATTCTTCCTCAAAGCCACCAAGTCTTCTCCTGCATTGCATATATATGCAGAAGCTTGTCTGCCCGACAGAGTCGCTCCTTCCATGCTGTCGATGTAATCCTGGCGATCAGACAGCGTTTGAATCAAATCTTCTGTATTTACAAACACATCCATACCCTAGAAAGGCTATAATGACTAGAACCAAGAATTTGTCTGCCGTATATCGTTGAAGGGTTAGCTCCTAAGTTCTGAATATATTTCTTCCTCGTATATTTTTCTCAAATACAAAAAACATCTATTTCGATGATGACTTTGGTCCCTGAACATTTAACCCTCACTCAACGATACACTATATTTATTCCCACTCGGAACGTTAAGTGGTAGAATCTTGCATAAAAGAGCCTGTCAATGTAACAGATATGTGGAAAGTAGTGTTACCTGTTTCGTATAGGAACCAGCAAGGAAGAAATTTGGCACTGGTGTCTTCTGATCAGGCCTAAATGGATCTTTACCAGGTGCTTCACGATATAGTGATTGCCCAATTTTGACAACTGATGACCAAGTGACTTCAAGACCTTGTGAAGAAGGAAATAGAACCAGAACCTGATACCATGAAACATTATTCTTTATCCGTCAATGATCTAAAAAATGGATGATGTAAGAATACACTTTTCGTTTCACTTAAATGCATTTCATGAAATCATGTTCTAATCCTCTTTTTTTCCCTTTCTCCCCACCTGTAAAAGTACAGATTTCTTTTATTTCCCCTTCTAATTTTTTGGGAAGGCTATCGGGGGAGTAGCAGTTACTGTTGAGTTACACTTTCAGTCTAGAATTGATTCAAGTTTGTCAATAGAAGTATATTATTTCACCATTGTCTCCGACACACATTCTCAGTTTCACTTAAAAAAGAACAACTTACAGTCTCGTTACTATACCCAATTAAATATTTTTTTTGTTGGCTTGGTTGGACTAGAAAAATGAAGTGGTGATTTTCTACCATTAGTAAGAAAAGAGTTTTCAGCTTTGACTAATGCATGCAATGCCCAAGTTCTCGGCAGAATGAAGGGATAAAGTCCAACTAGCGCCAACCTGCTTTGAAACTCTCGTTATAATTTCATCATTCGGCAAAGGCATGTATGGGTCCCCAGGTGTAAGCACACATCTGTAAGCAACCACCGAAAACAAGGGTGTTTAGATGGATAAAGATCATCAGTAGTCACTAAACTATAGCTCATAATGGCATGAATATGTGCTAGATAAGCACGATGATCTTTGTCATTTGAACAGATATAGAAAAAACACTGTTCTTACTGGAGCAATGAACCTTGACCCTCAAGATAATAATCTTCAGGAGATGTGAGTGCAAGGTCTGCAAAGCAAGAAAAATCTGCATCTGGTGTGTAGAGGAGATTGTCCAAGCCAGCCGCTTGTCTTAATTGCCTGGCCATCACATAATAGATCGTTAATTTCATAGTTAATTTCATAATAGCAATTGCATATCACATGAAAATAGTTGTCCCTCGGCTAAACAGAAATTAAATTGCAGAGTTTAAAATCTTTACCTTGCACGTTCCAGGTCCTGTAACTCTGTAACCCAGCCATTATAACGAAGCTGTACTGTAACAACAGGTACTCCAACTAGTTTATAGATATAATCAAAGAACTCCAATTCCCTCCACTTCTGTGGAAGTAATCTTTTAATTCCTGGGACATCACAAGCTGTAATCACATAGAATTTTTAGCTTCATATGAGTTTAGCAACACGGGAGAAAGGGACGTGGGGGTGGTGGGGGGTAAAATAGAGAAAGTACAGATATTGATTATAACCTGCTACATAAGCATCAGCTTTTACAATTTTCTTTTGAGTAGCCTGGACAATAGGGACACCCTAAATTAGTGTCCATACCTCGCCTAACATAAACAAACATGCTCACTTCATGCGCATAGGTCAATACTGAATATGAAACATCGTACATCCGCAGAGTGATGGTTCATTATAACATGAGAAATATGGATTCCACATATCAGTTGCTTCATTTCTCCATTTGTAATTTAATTCATCAGCTTCTAAAAATGAGAACAAAAAGTATGTGCATACGATTTCAGTTGATTATGCAGATTATTTTAAAGATGTATAGTTGTGGACAATTAAAAAAGTCAACAAATTCCAAGTGACTATTTACAAACTTAAATAACATAGACATGCAGTGCACTCTGTAAAGTGATCGCTTAATGAAGAAATATCATGTCGTTAATAGAAAAGCATTACCAAATGACATGCAATACCACTTTTTATTTTTCAAGAAGTTGAATATTCTTATGATCAAATTAATATTTTGTGGACTACTAAATATCCCTCAGCACTTATCGAGGATTTAAACCAAAATGATATCACTTGTAACTATACACTTTTGTGGAGCAGAGGCAAGATTCACTTGAGGCAACAGAAGGAACGATATGTGACACTTTGATTAAACCAAAGGTTCATGAAAAGAACTAATATTTTAAGATCACATTGGTTCATTTTGTTGCTCCATGTCCTTCTTAAAGATACTTGATTTGTCACAACAAAAAATTCTGATTAGGCTTACAAATTTTAAAAGGATCAGGTCAAAACACTTATACCTTGGACATGGCAAGTCCTGTTACATATATCCCTCCATCAGAAGATCTATGATAGAGAACTTCTCTGCATCCCCACCTCAGATGGAACCTGTTCCGATGTAGAAATATAAAGAATGTAACAGAAAAATAAATTGCTGAAAAAGAAATAACATCATTTTTATATACTTTCACAACCATATATGCAGTCATACCTGCCTCCCTTGTCTATAATATACTTTTTGATGGGACCACTTAAATAGATGTCAGGAGAACCTTTAAGCATGCGTAGCAGGGAAGCCTCAGTTTTAGTTGCAAACAATGAAAATATAGTGAGCATACAGCGGGCACTCATATTATCACAGTCAATGAATCCAAGGGCATAAGCAACAGGATCCCACATTCGCTGGATACTAGCGCGTGTCCCTCCTTTGGATAAGAACCAATCGGAGAAGCTTATCTGTTATAAATATTCGACCAATTTAACAAGAAACATATGCCAGAGAAATTATTCCTCGAAAATAATGGCAACAAATCAAGCACCAGAATATAAGAATACGAGATGCTAATATTATGAAGAGAATACAAACATTATCCAGATCCCGTATCTGCCTCATTGCACCATCTGGATCAACAAGTGCCCTAACAACTGGACTAAGGGCAAGAGCCACAGCATTTCTTGCTTTATCATAAGTCTGCAAATCGAAGTATAAATACATTTAGATGATCCCAGTGAATTAAAAAAAGATTTGGAACAGTCTGTTTCAACTGTCTGACACACAGCAATACA